AAAATCCTACGTAAAAAGTGGGAGACTCTGATAGGACCCAAAGAGAGAAGACTGAAGGTTAAACACGAACTTTTAACCAACACTCCCGGCACAGTAAGATGGATGTGTAAACCAGCGGGGTGTGTGAATAGGTTTTAAATGGATTTATATAAAAATGTCAGAAATTATGATACTGAAGGGGTGATACGAGGATATAGGATAGTTAAATAATCCAGGACAGAGGGAGAGATAGCACAACTGTTTAGTAAACAATTGTTCAAAGGATTGATTTCACTCATGTCCTTGGCAAGTAATAATGTGGTCCGAAGAATGGAAAATTTTACTGATGATGCAGGCGAAGCATCTAGGAATGTACCAAGTCCACGGTTTGAAACTGGAAATTATCATGTATGCTATGGACTCTGGACAAGGCGCGTTTCTACTGGTTTTTATGTCAATTTGACCAATTTGCCAAGATAAGGACAAAAACGTTTACAAAAAACTAGATTTCTCTAGAAAATTTTGATGGCTGCCTGCTGACGAAGTGAAAGGAGCAAAATGTATTATTATAGTATTTATATGAACAATATCATTATTTGAATGAGAGGATTTATGTAAGCTCTGAAAAGTTGTTAATTTTCGTCAGAATATTCTCTATTTGCCTAAAGGATCCTTCTCTAAGTTTATTTAAACAAACCTCAATATTAAATTTTTTCAAAAGTATTTATTTACAATAAATTTTGACAACGCCTTAATTTAGTAAAATTTGGAAAAGGCTAAAATCTTTTCATTAACTTTATTTACAAATCGGTTACATAAAAATTAAGAATAGGCATGTTATTCTTATCAAGGTTATATTGATCCTCTGTCAGACACAGAATTTCATTTCTCGCTATAACCTCAAGGATTCTTTAGCATCTCTCACCTTAAGATGAGGACAGAATTTTATAACACCTTCTTTTAGATATAAGGGAAGGTTCCGTTTGTTTGACTTGCTATTTTCTGTATGAAACCATTTTTTTACTCATAATATATACCTATATCTAAACTATATTTGAGAATTTGTTTAGAGATTTGTTGTTCTCAAAACGAAATATCCATGATAGATATACTTTGATTTTAAACAATAAATCACTACAAATTTTACCTCAACCCAATTTATCCAAGTGATATCTCTGCTTTAACTTATCATATTTAATGTTAAGCCAGCCTAGTCTAGTTTCTTAAACGACATGAACGAATATTCTATCTTATCAAGTTTTCACTTTGAGAGGTCGATTATGAGAGTTCGCCATTGTATTCAAAGCCATATCTTAATTAAATCAATATACCGGCGTACCTATAAGATAAAATGAATGTTTTTACTTTCAAAGTCGAGTTTAAATTATATAAATCCAGTCAGCAGATTTGGCTTCGCATAGGTGATGTCGAAAATTAAGTCAAATGTTGACGAGTTTGTCATTTGTGAATAGGCGGTGTAAAGAGTTGAATACAAATTAAAGCATAAACTTCAATTTTATGTGGACAACTTCACTGTTAGTATAAGTAAAATCACACAAAATACGTTATATTTTTTCATTTTCATTTGTATCAACTTAAGAGTTTCCCATGTTAACTATCATTCTGGGACAATTTCAATGTCGTGCAAAGCCTTTCGCCAAATCATGAACGCAAGACGGGAGCCCAAAATACGGAATCGCTGTAATGTAAAAATCATTGAATCTTTTTAACCAGAATCTACTAATCACTAGCTAAATAAAGTTCTATCATCTTATCACAGCTTTACGCATGCACATATCAACCTAAAAGGCAATTTAGAACTTTAAGACATCACTAAACCCAATTCCTTCAAGAATGCTTCCACTTTTTCGAAAATCATTTAATTGTATATCCGTTTGGCATGGTTCTCGTGTACGAGTTTATTTGTCTAATTTTATCCCATTTCTGGTCACAATGGCTGCAAGCCTTGTCAAGACGAGATTATCTGCCAGTCGGATCTGAACCTGTTTTATCTAATCTATTGTGTATATTTAATAAAGAAAACAGAATTCTGCCAATATATTTATGCCAATGTAATCATCTCAATGTAAATCTGCAAATGTTTTTTTTTTCTCAACGAGTACAGCAAAAAATCAGTCACTTTTTAGCACATTCTTATCCATGTCTTTATGTCAATTCAAAGAGTATCTGCAGTATTGTTGATTCATTTTGTTCTGCTTAAATTGAATACACTTGCTCCAGCTGGTATCAGGCTGCGACTGCATGCCGCTATTTGCATCTCTTTTGAGCCATCTTTTAGTCCATGCTAAATATTCCCACTTATTTGATCAGCCATAAGCTTTACGCCTCTACGCTTCATCAGCGTCATCCGCATCCTGGGCGTCCTCCTCTTCCTGCTCCTCGTTTGCCTCTGCCGCCGCCTCCTTGGCAAGACGTCTTGCCTCCTGCGCTTCACGCAAAGCCTCCTCTTCAAGCGGCGTTGGGTCCGACATCTCAACCATGCCAGAGGCATCGACTTCTGAGAACTCGCGCAGAATATTAGCATGTCTGGGTGGGCTAAAACTGGCCCCAAGACTCTTCAGACCCCACCCAATGTAGACATTTATATAGTCGCTGAGTGATAAAGCAAAATTTA